CAAGCAGTACACTGCCACCAAGCTTATTCCAGAGGGAAGGGTAAACATGCCACCGATGGAAATAGATTTCTCTCTCTCTTTTTTAAAAGGATTTAAACACACAACCAACACTGATCGCCCGGCCCGGGAGGCAGCGACGGACGGACAAGCCCAGCTTTTTTCATCTCCTCAGCTCGCGAAGCAACACGCCAGGCGAGGCTTGGGGAATGGACAAAAAACAACAAACAAGGCCTGGGACGGAGGCCTGGCAAGGAGGCTGCTGTGCCTACCTCAGCCCTGGCTGCAAAAAGGGGCAGAGTCAGAGGCGGGGAAAGCCAAGAGCTTTGCAGTGCACAGGATCGGCTGGAAAGAGCTACAAAACCTGTTAGGATTCATCCTGTCATATTAGTCTCTCCCTTGGCATTTTGGGAGTGGAGAGGAGTTTTCGGAGGGGAGGAGGCTGTTTTAAAGATCACTGCAACTCAGGAGACAAACTGGGGTGCCCATTTCTGCTCCTGGGCATTTGAGGCCGAGCTCCTGAGAGGAAGGTCTCAGCTCAGGTAAAATGTCCCGCGCTCAAGGCCTGGCATTGTTGGGCAAGATCCATGCCAGAAACCCTGGAGAGGCACTGCCAGCCAGTGTAGGCAGCAGGAGCTAGAAGGACTAAAGGTCTGCTTCTGCAGTAAGGCAACTTCCTACAGTAAAATTGAAAGCCAGCCATTCATTCACAACCCTGAGGACTAGAATCTTACTTCATCTTCAGGAGAAACCCTGTGGCAGAGCGACCACCTTGCATGTAGAATATGAGCTCAATCCCAGTGGCATCTCCAGGTAGGACTTCCTTAACCTCTGAAGATGCTGGTTGCTGGGGCTAATGGGATTTGGGAGTCCCAACAACATTAGTAAAGGTAAAGGGACCCCTGACCATTAGGTCCAGTCGTGGCCGACTCTGGGGTTGCGGTGCTCATCTCGCCTTATTGGCCGAGGGAGCTGGCGTACAGCTTCCGGGTCATGTGGCCAGCATGACTAAGCCGCTTCTGGCGAACCAGAGCAGCGCACGGAAATGCCGTTTACCTTCCCGCCAGAGCGGTACCTATTTATCTACTTGCACTTTGAAGTGCTTTCGAACTAGTAGGTTGGCAGGAGCAGGGACCGAGGAACGGGAGCTCACCCCGTCGCAGGGATTCGAACCGCCGACCTTCTGATCGGCAAGTCCTAGGCTCTGTGGTTTAACCCACAGCGCCACCCGCGTCCCTACAACATTGAGTGGAGGGGCACAAAAGCAGTTTCCCACCCCCGGTACAGAAGGTAGCCAGAGTGTGCAGAAGGGCACACTTGGAGATTATTCAGATCAGTGATCTTCAACCATGGTCCTCAGATGTTGTTGGGACTACCATTCCCATCACCCCTGACTATGCGGCCCAGACATGGTCAGAGTTGTAGTCCGACAAGGTAGACGGACCCTGATTTAGACGACTGTTTATTATTCATTTCGACAATTTATATCCCGCTTGAATACAGTCGTCTCCAGGAGGCAATGAAGCCAAAACAAGTTAAAACTATAAGAACCAGAGTTCGGTTAAAAAGCCTGCCACAATTTTTAAAAGTCTTATGTTAGTGCCGGAGGTTCACCGGGTACAGGAGGGCCTGTCTAAAGGGAGTTCCACAAAATCACTGCTCTGAATGCACAGCTCCTAGGAGGCACCCAAGTAATGGGGACCACAAACAGTGACTCCCCTCAGAGATTGATCAAAGGGATCAGGAGGTCCTAATATGATGCTGTTGGGGCAAGCAGACCCGCACCCCCTATTTCCAACCACCAAACCCCACACCTCTAAGGGAGATGGAAGAGGCAGCTGAGATCGGACAACTCCCAAATCAACACAACCCTGCTGCCCAGGGTTCAAAATCTGTATCCTGGAGGTTCAATCTAGAACCCCCCCTTTTCCATTCTCTCCTTTGCCCCTGCACCCCCAACCTGAACCGTTTTAATATTTCAGATTAAAAACCCGTCTGCTGTGGCCTTCAGCTGAAGTCTGGCACGCGATTAAATTCCAGTTGTCTTTAAGAGACTTAAGCCTCGACCATCTGCTAACTTCCACGGAGACACCCAAGTGGGGAAGGAAAGGAAGGCCAGGAAAAGTGCAATTTTTAAAGGGAGAATACAGAAAATAAAATAAAAAATTGGCAGGCTTGGTGTTGCGTTTCAAGGGCCTCAACATTAGCATAGTGGGCAGACAGACAGGGAACCTGTGGAGCTTTAAAAATCCACGTTATCTGGATAGCATCTGCTCTCAGGGCCAACGCAACAAACAAGGCCAGGATACGAAACAAGGAGAACCACGCGACAGCGCCTGTCCTTGACTGTACAATTTCAAGATGCGATGGAAAGCCACATAGCAAAAAATCCCCGAAAGCAGAAAGTTAGCATCTCAAGGAGGAGCCTTGCTTTCTTCCTGACATGCTAACTATCTTTTGGGTTCTTGGCTCCCAGCCCCCTCCACCCTGCCATTTCCATTGCTCTTGCGTTTGCATTTCAATCCCTGAATGTCAGCACCCATGCTCTGATCAGGAATGCCGCTTCGCAGAAATTACCGGCGCCCATTTAAAGCATTCGCGAACCCGCTGGGAATTTGGGACACAGAATTAACGGTGTCCAACGCAACTCAAAAACATTGATGGCCAAATGGCATCAATTTCAGAGACCTAGTGGGAGGTTTGAGAAGATCTCCAGTCCTCCAGATGTTGCTGAAATGGCCAGACTAATAGCCATTGGGATTTGGGGGAGACTGACCACACCTGGAGCGCCACGGGTCCCCCAGAGCCTGGCGTAGCGCAAAACCACAATTTAGGGAAGATTTTCCTGCTTTTCCTCCAGGATTTATTTTCAGTTTGGAGGGAAGGGGAGGGTTCTGCCTACTCAACAGCCTGTAAACACAAACTGTCCACAAACAGGCAAACCACAACAACCCGATATTTATTTACGCGAGGAATTGGTTATTTTTCAGGTTTTAGGTATCAGTTGGCTGGTGGTGAGATACAGAATTCAGTAAGGGGTGATGGCAAACCTCTTAAGATTTCTTCTCTTCCACCTCCACAAAATCCTGGGAGAAGGAAGTCTCACCCCCTCAAAAAAACAACACCCCATCACAACTGTTGTGTATCTTGGGAGGAAATTTTTTTCTTTCACCCAACCCCCAATCTTGAGAGAATGAAGTTGTTCACTCCTCTCAATAAACTATATGCTTTATATATATTTGTGTGTGGCAATATTAAAATTTTCCTCGGATTTTTTTTTGGGGGGGTGGCAGAGAAGAAAAGGAATCTGGAAGTTGCTCTCCACCCCCTTTTACTCTCCCAGGGTTGTGTTTTTCTACTTTTGCTGTGGGGGGCAGGGTTGAAGAAAAGGAATAAAACAGTTCAACTTATTTAAAGGAGTTAAAATCTGGCATTGCTCTCTCAAGTCTACTCCGCTCCCCTAAAATGTTTATTTATCCTGGGACCTTCTGCATGCAAAGCGTGTGGTCTATCACTAACCTATGCACCCCCCCCCTCAATTTCTTCAATATATACAGGGAGGGAGAAATTCCAGGTCCCCCCTCCATATTCCTTTACTACACCTTCAGATCAGGACTTAGCTGCATCCTTCTCCCTATTTTGCCCCCCCCCGCAAACCCATTTCATTTTTATGTTGAGATACTCTATATCAGTGGTGTCCAAACTTTTTTCAAAGAGGGCCAGATTTGATGAAGTTGTTGAGGTTTTTGTTTTTTTTTTAGGATTTTACCCCAGGAAATAAACTGTCACAGGGGCCAGATTAAACCGACTGGCGGGCCGGATTAGGCCCCCCAAAACGGACTTTGGACATGCCTGCTCTATATGCATTTGGGGGGGGGGGAGAAGCAGCAGCATCCCACCCCAAAACCTCAGATTGTCCCTGCCTTCTCAAAGGATGATTGAGATGGACTGCCTTCTCCCCCTGATTTTTTAGATTTCACCCACGCTGCTCTCAATATCATTTTCATGCACAGCCCCACCATCCCATTTTGAGATCTCTCCCAGCCCCCAGGTTTTTCAGGAGGGAGCACCCCATCTTCCTTTCCTCTCAAAGCAGAACTCAGATGACCCCATCTTCTCCAATCTGAGACCCTCCCCACTCCTTGCAGTTCCAGGTTTCTGTTGAGATACATGGATTTTTGGAATTGGGGTGGGGTGGGGGGACAGCACCCATCTCCCTCCTCCCCTCCCCAAAATCTGCTTGACCTCTCAAAAGCAAAATTGAAACGGACCCTTCCAGCCACCGTAAGCACCTTTCCATCCCATGTTTGTTTTCGTGAGTAGGAAACAGAAGAAAACACCACCCTCCTCTCCACTTCCTCCTCTTCCAAAACAGGACCGAAGTGGACCAGCCCCACTCCATTTTGAGGTCTCTTCCCCACCCCAAGATCTATTTACACCGAGATGCACTGAAGATGCATGTTATTCTGTCCTCCCCAGAGGGCTTTGTTGGGGGTCACCCCTTCCCACATTTCAAGTCTTCAGCCCCCCAAAATCCATCCCATATTGGGGGGTTGCTCTTTTCCTCTCTATATTGCAGGAGGGAGGAGGAGGAACCCCCCTCCACACACCCAATTTCCTACCCCCTCAAAGGAGGACTGAAATGCCCCCCCAAATACCTGAACCTCCCCAGTTTATTTCAGCTAATATCCACTGAAGGATGAAAAGCACCAGCCTGTCCTGTATCTCCCCCACTTGCAACCCCTGAGAAGCAACCTTGGTGGGGGGAGACCCCTTGCCCCCCAGTCCCAGATTTTGAGGACCCCCCCATCCATTTATGCTGAGATACTCCTCCTTCCCCTCCTCCCCATTACTCCTCCACGACCCCATCAATGCAGGCGCCCCCCCATTTTGAGGTGCCCCCCATAAACCTCCCTCCGCGCCCCCACCCCTTTAATCGAGGCCTGGTGGGCGGGGCTTGTCGAGGCCCCACCCCCTTAAAGGGGAAGGCCTTTCGGGCCTACCTGCTCGACTCCGGCTCCCTGGAGCGGCCCGGCGTCGCGTCCGTCTCGGAGAGGGGCAGCTCGCCCAGCGGCTCCTCAGGCTCCCCGCCAGGCCCCTCTCCCGACTGCGGGGCGGCCTCCGCCTCCTCGGCCGCTTCCTGCTTCTCCGCTCCGGCCCGGCCCCGGGCCCCCTCATTGGCGAGGCCGCTTGCCGCTCTGAGGATGACCTCCCGGCTGCCTGGCGCTCCATTGGGCGAACGGGACGTCGGTCAAGGAAGGCTCCCGGTCTCCCCGCCCGCCATTGGGCGAAAGCGGCTATCAGTCAAAGGCGACGTTCCGCCTTCGCCGAACTCGTTCCTCGTCGGAGGCGTTCCGCTTGCTGGGCAGTCCTACTGGCTGCGCGGCCTGCCGCTCAAGTGGCTCGCGCCCTCCTCATCCGCTCTCTACTTGGTGCTTTGCCAAGCCGAGGCTGGAGGAGAGATGTAGTCAGCTGGGGGAGCCTCCCACCGGCCAGCGCCTATTGGCTAAGGCATCTATCACTCTCCGATATATCCAACTAACTATTGGCTAGGGCTGCTTGCCACTCAGCTGGGCGCCAAACAAGCCTTTCTATTGCCTGCGAGCCTTCAGGGAGGCAGGGCTTTAATTTCATTCGCTGGACACCTGAGGGAATACAGAAACGGCAGCAGGTGCCCATTTGCTGAGGCGGCGCGTCTCAGACAAGAACCTCCCATTAGTATTCGGCAGGGGAGATGGGCGGGGCTTTCAGGGGGAGGGAAATAGCGCCTCACGTTCTACCATTCTAATTGGCTGTCCTTCGTGCCTTTTAAAACGAACAAACCAACCACCAGGCTTATTGGGGGAAATCCGTGTCACTCAAATGAGTTGCCCCCGCCTGAGGCTTCTCACCTCATTTTCCTATTGGTAGGCTACTTCTTGGAAGGCGGGCCGTATTCTTGCCATTCAAAATAATGACGCGTGAAGGAACGTCGAACATCTGAGTGGCGATTGACCAAAGCAAACGTCCGTCTAAAAACTCCTCGCAGGAGGGAGAACGAAGGGAAAGCGACGGTGCCGCAAGGGATTCTGGGATAGTGGCCTTTAAATGGAGGCGCGCAAAGGAGTCTGGGAGGGGGAAGGGGAAAGTGGACAAAAGCTCTGTGAGCAAAGCATTCTGGGGGAGTGGCGCAAGGGATTCTGGGTAATAATGGACAATTTGAACTCAGGACCTAACAAATTGATTTTTTTAACATCTGGATCAAACCTTCCAGCTTTGGTCTTGCAGCTTCACAACTGCAAGCTCCATTGAGCACATGTTGTTATTTAATATTAATTAATGGTATTACAACCTAATTTTTTTTTTGTTATTAATAATGTTTCTACCAAGGTTGGGGGGGGGGGAAACCTGCGGCCTGGAATGTGTTGCTGACCTATAACTCCCAGGGGTCAGCATGACCAGTCCCTGGTGGGAGTTGTAGCGCAGCAACAATGGAAGCGCCTAGGGTCCTTGCCTGTTGTCTTTGTCCATGGAGTTTTCTTGGCAGGGATACTGGAGTGGCTTGCCGGTTCCTGCTCCAGGTGGATCACGTTTGGTCAAAACTCTCCACTATGACCTGTACATCTTGGGTGGCCCTGCAAGGCATAGCTCATAGCTTCTATGAGCCAGTGTGGTGTGGTGTAGTGGTTAAGAGTGGTAGTCTCGTAATCTGGTGAACCGGGTTCGATTCCCCGCTCCTCCACCTGCAGCTGCTGGGTGACCTTGGGCCAGTCACACTTCTCTGAAGTCTCTCAGCCCCACTCACCTCACAGAGTGTTTGTTGTGGGGGAGGAAGGGAAAGGAGAATGTTAGCCGCTTTGGGTAGTGATAAAGCGGGATATCAAACTACTCCTCTTCTTCTTCTTCTTCTTCTTCTTCTCCTCCTCCTCCTCTGAGTTATTCAAGCCCCTTCACCATGGTAAGGCAGTGATCCATGATTTTTTCTTGGGAGAAAAGCAATGACAAACCTAGACAGCATCTTAAAAAGCAGAGACATCACCTTGCCAACAAAGGTCCGTATAGTTCAAGCTCTGGTTTCCCCAGTAGTGATGTATGGAAGTGAAAGCTGAACCATAAAGAAGGCTGATCGCCGAAGAATGGATGCTTTTGAATTCTGGTGCTGGAGGAGACTCTTGAGAGTCCCATGGACTGCAAGAAGATCAGACCTCTCCATTCTGAAGGAAATCAGCCCTGAGTGCTCACTGGAAGGACAGATCCTGAAGCTGAGGCTCCAAGACTTTGGCCACCTCATGAGAAGAGAAGACTCCCTGGAAAAGACCCTGATGCTGGGAAAGATGGAGGGCACAAGGAGAAGGGGACGCCAGAGGACGATATGGTTGGACAGTGTTCTTGAAGCTACCAGCATGAGTTTGACCAAACTGCGGGAGGCAGTAGAAGCCAGGAGGGCCTGGCGTGCTCTGGTCCAGGGGGTCACGAAGAGGCGGACATGACTAAACGACTAAACAACAACAACAGGGTCCTTGCCTAGGGAACTTTCCAAAGAGGAATATGACAGGAAGAGCCTCTGACTGCGTATGCTCTGTACATTTAAAGCACCCTCCCCAAAAATCCTGGTAATGGTTGACAGAGCTACAGTACTCAGCAAAATTTTAGTCCTCATGGTTGTGTGGTAAACAAAATCTGCCCTTATTCCCTTATGGGGGACACTGAACCCTTATACAGTGGTGCCTCTTCGTCTTGCGGTTTTTTCGTCTTGCGAAGCACGGCTATTAACGGCTATTAACGGCTTAGCGGCTTTAAGAAAAAGGAAACAAACTCGCAAGACGAAGCAAGCCCATAGGGAAATTCGTCTTGCGGAACGACTCAAAAAACGGAAAACTGTTTCGTCTTGCGAGTTTTTCGTCTTGCTAGGCATTCGTCTTTCGGGGCACCACTGTAGAGTCCTTTGTAGGTTCTCCATCGGTTGGAGAAAATAACAGGCCAATCAGAGAATATTGAGAAGCAAAGCAGCTAGTAAGCCTGATCTTTATTGATTTGTTGCAACAGGGTGCTCCCCTCACTCGCAGGAAAGGAGGAGGACCCAGAACAAAGGTGTGCCTGCCCTTATATAGACATTTTAAATTCCCTGCCCTGGAGCTCAAGACCACCCCTCCATATAACATACATCACCAAAGGGGTGTAACCCAAGACCACCACCCCAGATACAGCATACCTACATCTCAGAAAAGGTGGTCTACAGCAGAAATCTGAGTGTGTTGTTTATCTCGTTTATCAGGTTATCTGATAATGCCTTATCTGATTGCTTTTCCTAGTAGTCTGGCCATTTCTTTGAGATGGTGATCACCCACTTCCTGAGACAATGGGAAGGTTCCCTCAACCCCTCCCTCCTTGCAGAGAAAACATTTGGTCAGTTTGGGAGTCAAAATGGTTTCAGGGCGGTCTTCCTGTGCTGCTCCAGACATGTGGTCCACATATACTATGTACGTGCTTGGTTGGTACATTTATGAACATTTATTATATATAAAAGGGACGTGGGTGGCCCTGTGGGTTAAACCACAGAGCCTCGGACTTGCCAATCAGAAGGTCGGCGGTTCAAATCCCTGCGACGGGGTGAGCTCCTGTTGCTTGGTCCCTGCTCCTGCCAACCTAGCAGTTCGAAAGCACGTCAAAGTGCAAGTAGATAAATAGGTACCGCTCCAGTGGGAAGGTAAACGGCATTTCCGTGTGCTGCTCTGGTTCACCAGAAGCGGCTTAGTCATGCTGGCCACGTGACCTGGAAGCTGTACGCCGGCTCCCTCGGCCAGTAAAGTGAGATGAGCGCCGCAACCCCAGAGTCGGCCACGACTGGACCTAATGGTCAGGGGTCCCTTTAGCTTTACCTATTATATATAAATGACCTTAATTTTTTTATTTCAGTTCTGATATAGGAAGCTTCCGAGTCAGACCACTGGTGGTCCGTGTACCTCTATGCGGCTCAAGACAGTATATCTAAGACCTCAAAATTCCTATCACAACAGCGACCAACAAGTTAAGGCATGCAGCGTCCTCAAGGCCTCCCCGTCGCCTTTCCTCCAGGAAGCATTGTCCTTTGTCCTCCCTCCTTGCCAAGGGGAGCCAAGTGATTTTCATCTCCCACCGTCCACTTCTCCATCGCTGCCCTGCCGCTGCGACTGGGGTACACTAGCTTGTAAACAATCTTTCTTTTATGCGGCTCCGAAATCAGTCTCTTTCCACCCCACCGCCCTCCCCGAGAGCCAAGGCCTTTCCCTTGTATGTTTTCCGAGCCGATCGAGTGATGCGGCGGTTTCTCCCGAAAACAGGGCCTCGTCTGTGCCTCGGTCCGCTCCGTTTTCAACAGCGAGGTTATCGGGGAAGCCTCGGCCTCTCTTTCAAAAGGGCCTTTTCTTCCCAGCATGTCAGGTGGTGGAACCTGAGAGAGTCGGCCGCAAGCCAGAAAGCTTTTGGCTGGAGGAACGAAGTCTCCTTTCCTCGGTCCCCCCCCCCCACTTCTGCCGCCCCTCAGAGGGCTCCTGGAATAAAGGGTTGACTATCCTTTAAAGGGTGGATCAGAACACCCGCAAAACACGAGGTTGCCATCCTTTATTGCGTGCTTTTGAACGACAGCAAAGACAAAAGGGAAATTCAACAGCAGGTCAAATCCTGCTGAATGTAAGGATTAGGGGGGGGGGAGAGGCTCCACCAGATGAATATCGGCCTGTTACACGGCAGCCACGCTGGGGAGGAAGCTGCAGTAGTTGCAATTCCACCTGTCACTTTATTGAAGAAAATGTCTTTAAAAAAAACAGCACAACAATCTGTGCTCTTGAAGTAAGAAGCAAAGAATTGTAGCGTTGGAAGGGGGCCCCCAAGAGGTTATCCAGCCCAAACCCCCCTGCAATGCCTCTTGCTTGCCTGGATGAGGGATGGAGGGGCGTGTGTATGTGTGTACTCAAACAGAGGAGACATATAGACAGACTGCCTTACACTGAATCGGACCATTGGGGTCCATCTAGCTCAATATTGTCCTCACTGGCTGGCAGCAGCTTTCCAGGGTTTGGGGCAAGGGGGTTGTCCAAGCCCTAACTCGACGCCAGAGATCAAACCAGGGATGTTCTGCATGCAAAGCAGGGGATCTGCCACAGAGGGATACAGCCGTCCCCTTCAAAATAGGCTTAAGATTCTAGTCCTCATGGTTAAAGGTCTGTTTGCAGTATTGCACTCTACACTTGTAGGTAGAGGTCTCTTTACCTTTACTCTAGTGTAGAGCTCAAGCAAGGAATGAAAAAAGAAGCATGTCTATCAGGGCATGAGCAGAGTGCACCCACTTTCTCACTAGGGGATTGGGTATCCCAGACGTAAAATACGATGAAGGTTCATGTCAAATACTTGTCCTACTCAGAACACACTCATTGAAATTAAGGGAAATTGCAGGGGTTGGTCTAGATGTCCCTCAGGGTCCCTTCTATCTCTAGAATTCTGTGACTAACTTAGATCCATTGATTTCAGGGTGTCTCCTCCCGCTTTGCCTGGATGCAACCCTCAGCCTACAAGTGGAAACAGAACTAGCCCTACGGAAAAGGCCTTTGCACCTTACTCGGCGGCAGGTATTTGGGGGCAGAAGGCGGGGAGAGGCGGCAAAAATTTATTCCGTGCCCCCACGAGAGCTGGGATGTGCACAGAGGGGGCTATTGTTTGGCAGGGCTGTGTGCCAGGCAGCCGAGACTTTATAAGAGCTTCCCGCTGGCATCTCACATGCCTACGAAGAAGCCAAAGTCTGGATCCGTTCAGCCCTGCCGTCGGGGAAGAGAAAATGGTGAGCGAGGACAAGAACCCCGAATCGTGGCCGGCAGGGCTGCACCTCAAGAGCCCACCCTACGTAAGTAGTTCACTTTAGAAGTGAGTGGGGGGAAGGCCACCTCATTTTTTAAACCCCCCATTGGGTCTCCCGTTCCTTTAACTGCTGCTCAGCAGGCAGGAATCCATCAGGGGAAGCTCTTTCCAGCCTTGTGTGGTTGCCATGCGCAGTGGCAGGGAGAGAAGCTGCACCGGTGGGATTTCTGCCTGCTGCCCTGCTAGGGGGTGGGGTTGAAACGCCCAGAGTGGGAATGCGTACGGTTATCGACCTGCCAATTTTTAAAAATCTTCGGGGCTCGGTTCTCCAGCGTGACGAGAGCACGCTTAAGCATGTGCAGAGTGCAAATGCGGAAACAGGCTATGTCACAGATTTTAGAAAAGGGATTTCAGGTGCTGCTAGATGCCATCACCCCCTCTTTCTTTCTTTCTTTCTTTCTTTCTCTCTCTCTCTCTCTCTCTCTCTCTCTCTTCTCACCCCCTTCCCCAATTTTTGTCCAGACTCTCCACTCCAGCCTTGAGCTGGCAGAGCCTCCTGTCGCCTCGAACCGCAAGCTGGTGATTCTGATGGTGGGCGCTGTCTCAGCTCTCAGCATCAGCATCGTGGGAGTCCTGCTGGCCACCTACCTCGGGCGGGCGGACTGCGTCCAGGTACGGTACGATACCATAATCTTTATTGTCATTGTCCCATACAGAACAACGAAATTGAAAAAAAAAAACTATATCAGACATTCAAAAGCCAACAAGCCTGCTATCCCAGCTATCGCAGCCTGGTTAACCCCCTAAAAATACCCCATAATTAAATACAATACAGTGGTGCCTCAGGTTACAGACGCTTCAGGTTACAGACTCCACTAACCCAGAAATAGTACCTCGGGTTAAGAACTTTGCTTCAGGATGAGAACAGCAATTGTGCGACGGCGGTGCAGCAGCAGAGGGAGGCCCCATTAGCTAAAGTGGTACCTCAGATTAAGAACAGTTTCAGGTTAAGAACAGACCTCCAGAACTTATTAAGTTTGTAACCAGAGGCACCACCGTATACTCCCACAGAGTCTACCTTACACTGCGTTTAAAACCAAAATCGCATTTGGGTAGAAACTGTTTCTCAGGCGGCTAGTCCTAGTCTTTATAACCCTGGACCTTCTTCCAGAAGGCAGAAGCTGAAAGAGATCATTTCCGGGGTGCGCACTATCCTGCAGCTTTCTTATGGCACCTGGAAGCATAGATTTGATCCAAGGTGGGAAGAGTGCACCCAATTCTTCTCTCCGCAGTCTTTACAACCCTGGACAGCATTGTTTTTTCCCTGGCTGTGCAGCTCCCAAACCACACACACAGACCATAAGTTAATACACTCTCAACAGTACAATGGTAGAATTCCATCAACAGGTCCTTTGAGAGATTATTACGGAGGACAGGCGATGATGGAGACAGCGTCTGCCTTCTGCTTTCATTGGTGGAAGTCCTGGTGGTCTAAATCCAGCATGTTCTGCCTTCCGCCACCTTCGGCCAGGGCAGCCACATTTCAATCTTTTACCCCCGCTTCCTTTCTCGGCAGAGAGACGCCTTCAGTTTCCTCCCTCCCCAAGTCAACGTCCAAAACGAAGCGTCTCTCTTGTTGGCGCTCAGCGAACTGGGCGAACAAGGCGTGGCTCCAGGGATCACCTGCGACTTGAGAAACGTGAGTTGCAGAATCGCCAGTAGGGCCAGAATTAGTGTCGCAAGAGGCTATGGGGACAGTGTTGCTGTTTTTCTCTCCCAATGGGGTCTCCTTAAGTTGTCCAGTAAGTGCGTTAGCAGTCACTGAACCGCACTAAGGTGGATTTAAGAACATAGAAAGCTGCTTTGAGTCAGACCGGTGGTGGATCTATCTACAACAACTGACAGCAGCTGCCCAGGGCTTCAGGTAGGGAGGTTTTTCTGGAGATACTGGCGATTGGACCGGGAACCTTTTGCATGCCAAGCAAATATGCCAGCTCTTTCACTGAGCTACTGCTATTCCCCTAAGTGTGTGTGTGTGTGTGTGTGTGTGTGTGTGTGTGAGAGAGAGAGAGAGAGAGAGAGAGAGAGAGAGAGAGAGAAAGTATTGTCTGGGCAAGCAGCTTTGCAAGGTCTCTCTAAGTTTGTTGTTGTTTAGTCGTTTAGTCGTGTCCGACTCCTCGTGACCCCCTGGACCAGAGCATGCCAGGCACACCTGTCTTCCACTGCCTCCTGCAGTCTGCTCAAACTCATGCTGGTAGCCTCAAGAACACTATCCAACCATCTCGTCCTCTGTCGTCCCCTTCTCCTTGCACCCTCCATCTTTCCCAACATCAGGGTCTTTTCCAGGGAGTCTTCTCTTCTCATGAGGTGGCCAAAATATTGGAGCCTCAGCTTCACGATCTGTCCTTCCAGTGAGCACTCAGGGCTGATTTCCTTAAGAATGGAGAGGTTTGATCTTCTTGCAGTCCATGGGACTCTCAAGAGTCTCCTCCAGCCCCAGAATTCAAAAGCATCAATTCTTCAGCCATCAGTCTTCTTTATGGTCCAGCTTTCACTTCCATACATCACTACTGGGGAAACCATAGCTTTTACTATACGGACCTTTGTTGGCAAGGTAATGTCTCTACTTTTTAAGATGCTGTCTAAGTTTGTCATTGCTTTTCTCCCAAGAAGCAGGCGTCTTTTAATTTCGTGGCTGCTGTCACCATCTGCAGTGATCATGGAGCCCAAGAAAGTAAAATCTCTCACTGCCTCCATTTCTTCCCCTTCTATTTGCCAGGAGGTGATGGGACCAGTGGCCATGATCTTTGTTTGTTTGATGTTGAGCTTCAGACCATATTTTGCGCTCTCCTCTTTCACCCTCATTAAAAGGTTCTTTAATTCCTCCTCACTTTCTGCCATCAAGGTTGTGTCATCTGCATATCTGAGGTTGTTGATCTTTCTTCCGGTGATCTTAATTCCGGCTTGGGATTCATGCAGCCCAGCCTTTCGCATGATGAATTCTGCATATAAGTTAAATAAGCAGGGAGACAATATACAGCCTTGTCGTACTCCTTTCCCAATTTTGAACCAATCAGTTGTTCCATATCCAGTTCTAACTGTAGCTTCTTGTCCCACATAGAGATTTCTCAGGAGACAGGTGAGGTGATCAGGCACTCCCATTTCTTTAAGAACTTGCCATAGTTTGCTGTGGTCTCTAAGTTTAAAGGTATCCAAAGTGCATTAGAGTTAATTAAACCACCCTGAGGTTCTCTTAAGAGCATGGGAGTATCTCTTTTATTTATTTGAAATGTATAGCCTACATTAACGTAACACCATTAAAAAGAGAGAGCTGAGAACACGAATAACCTTTGCAAAATGGAGAAACAATAGCCAGCTGAACGACCCGAGTGTCGTTAAATCAAACCTGGGGACAGGGGGGAGTGTGGGATTCGGGGTTTGGGGGCTTCCTCTGCAAGATGCTACCTCTCTCCCCCCTCTCTCCCCCCACAGCACCTGATGGTGTACCATGGCCAGCCAGAAGGGTGTGTGGCCCGAAAGATGGAGGTGTCCGAACCGCTACCCTCCTGCCAGGAACTGGAGGCGTACTTCCAAGCTGTCTTGGTGAGGATCAGCAGGTGTCCTGGGGCCGGTTCAAGGCACACGGGGAGTGTGGCTTGGAGTTACGGCCCTTGCCCTGAAAGCAAGGCAAGATCCTAGTCCTCAATGTTTTGAGGACAGGGCAGATTTGAACAGGAACAGAGGGAACTGCCTTGTAGCTATTCTCATCTTGGGAAACTGAACCCGGGACTGTCTGTTTTCGAGGCAACAGTTCTGCCGCTGAGCTGCGACCCTTTCCTTAAAAGTAATTCTAAGATTCCGGTCCTCATGGTTCTGAAAGAAACTCTGACATATAATTAAATGCAGCATCTCAAAACAAAGCAATCATGGGTCGTCCCCTGCCTTTGAACTGTTCTTTTAGACATAATTAATGCAAACATGATCAGTAGCGGTTTATTATTTTATACATAAATGCATTTTTTACTGTATACATTACTGTATACAAACTTGTTTAATAATAATTCGGTAATTTTTGGTTTTATGTATACAGTTTTAACTGTACGGTTTTATGTGTGACTGCTGGAAACTGCTTTGATTCCCCCCCCCCCCTTGAACAAATACCAGTATACAACTGTTGTTATATAAACCAACAAATGACACCAGCCGGTTAAAAGCGATTCAACAGCACAGACCCTGTGCATGTTTGCTCTGAAGTAAGCCCCACTTGTTCAAAGGTTTTTACTCTCAGGTAAACAGGCCTAGCGGGGGTTGCAGGCTTAGAGCTGTTTCATCCGGCAACGGACTGCAGTTTAACTAATACAGGTGCCAACTAAGAGTGCAAGAAAAAGGGGATAACTCATCCTTCAAGGTTTATTTTGGGTGGGGGTGGGGGATCCGAAGAGTCTTCCTTCTAGTTTCAAGACTTGTGGACTGGGGTCCAGGGACGCGGACTTATAAAAAATATTGGGGGGGGGGGGGGCCGGGAAAGCTCATGAATAATAAATAAGCTCATGAATATGCAAATAAAGTGGCGCCGCCTCCTCGTGAGCGAATAGGGGAGAGCGTGCTGCGCCTATTAATCAGCTCCAAAGGAAATTGGGTGGAGCTTTTGCTCGGGAGGGAGGGCAGGAGGCATGCAGCCCGCCCCTCCCTGTGCATTTTGGGCTGGGGGAGGGGCGGCGATGGCGCTCTGCTGGAGGGGCGCCGGAGATTATTGGGGGGCGGAGCCCCCCCAAACGAATTTTTGAGGGGGCTCGGGCCCCCTCAAGCCCCATGGAGTCGGCGCCTATGCTGGGGTCTACTTCTTCAGATGCATGAAGTATCATCTGGAGTTGCAAATATAACACCCACAGGCGCTCAGAGGGCTGGTTGTGGCTGTCAAGTCAGAAGGAGGTTTGCAGCAAGTTTAAGGACAAGTATACCTAACCGAGTTACGCAGCTAGGTTGGAGCGTCTAAACCAAAACGGTCAAAAAACACTAAAGTGAAGACCCGATGTCAATAAGCAGGGAGTTCCAGAGATCGGTGCTGTCCTATTAAAGGACTGTGTGTGTAAATACAGCAGCAGCAAGGATTCTCTGTGTACAGAAATGGAAGGAGAGAAAACACACCCAGAGGAAGAATGGTTGGTAAAAATCTTGGAATACGCAGAGATGACAAAATTGACGGTAATGATAAAAGATACAAATTTAGAATGTTTTAAATAAGACTGATGGGACGTGGGTGGCGCTGTGGGTTAAACCACAGAGACTAGGACTTGCCGATCAGAAGGGCGGTGGTTCGAATCCTCCGCGACGGGGTGAGCTCCCGTTGCTCGGTCCCTGCTCCTGCCAACCTAGCAGTTCGAAAGCACGTCAAAGTGCAAGTAGATCAATAGGTACCGCTCCGGCGGGAAGCTAAACGGCATTTCTGTGCGCTGCTCTGGTTCGCCAGAAGCGGCTTAGTCCTGCTGGCCACATGACCCGGAAGCTGTACGCCGGCTCCCTCGGCCAATAAAGCGAGATGAGCGCCGCAACCCCAGAGTCGTCCGCCCTTTACCTTTTTAAAGAAGACTGAAAACCATTTCAAGTTTTTATAAAAAGTTACGGTACTTCCTGTATGTGAAGACCACAGCAGGGATTGAAGTGTAAGAAAACAGCAGAGTATATTAGGAAACACATTAGAAATTCGACAAGATGGAAACTTAAAATGCAATTTTATGTAACTTGAGTTATATCGGGAGCATGAAGCGAAAACACTGTATGTAGCAGTTGTCAAACCTGCTTTTGCCGGCTGTTTCTTGCCCTGTTGCAGAAAAATGCCACACTGGGGATCACCTCGGAGGTGCAGATCGTGGGGACCGCATCGCTGGGCAGCCTCACCACCCTGCTGTGTAGCAACAAGCCCACCTACCTGGTCAACAGTTTTGCACGTAAGTAGGGCGGAAAGCAGGGACGCGGGTGGCGCTGTGGGTTAAACCACAGAGCCTAGGACTTGCCAATCAGGTCGGCGGTTTGAATCCCCGCAGTGACGGGGTGAGCTCCCGTTGCTCGGTCCCTGCTCCTGCCAACCTAGCAGTTCGAAAGCACGTCAAAGTGCAAGTAGATAAATAGGTACCGCTCCGGCGGGAAGGTAACCGGCATTTCTGTGCGCTGCTCTGGTTTGCCAGAAGTGGCTTAGTCATGCTGGCCACATGACCCGGAAGCTGTACGCTGGCTCCCTTGGCCAGTAAAGCAAGATGATCGCCGCAACCCCAGAGTCGGTCACGACTGGACCTAATGGTCAGGGGTCCCTTTACCTTTACCTAGGGTGGAAAGCTGCCGCTGGAGTGGACTGTACAGACCGTACCTCTGTCAGAGGGGTGGGGGGAAGACAGAGAGAGGTTTGGATATCTGATTTAGGAGGGGGAAGCAAGATTTGAATTGTTCCAGCAGCAGCAGCAGCAGCAGCAGCAACCCTGGCCATTGGGCCAATGCTTGCTAGGGCTGATGGGAGTTGTAGTTCGGCAACAGCTGGAGGGCTGAAGGTTCCCCACGCAGTGGTTCTCAACCTGTGGGTCCCCAGATGTTGGACTACAACTCCCATCATCCCTGAGCTCTGGCCTTGCTAGCTAGGGGTGATGGGAGTTGTAGTTCAACAACATCTGGGGACCCAGAGGTTGAGAAAAGCTGGTAGAGATACCCAGATCTCTCTCTCTCAGTACAAATCCGACTGATGTAGAATTTGTAAAATTTTGGATGCTGCCAAAAGTTCCTCTAGTCCAAGGAAGGCTAATCCCTGGTTTTGGGAGCCGGTTTGCACAACACACCCAAAAGAATTTGGATCAATAGTTTTTTTTATAAAAAAATGATTAAAGTAGACGCAGGATTACACACAGAAGCCTTTTGGCATTAAAGGCGCCCTTTGGTTGGAAAAGGGAGAGCTTACATCACAAGAACCCTTTGGCAGAACGGGGAATTGTTGTTGTTGTTTAGTCGTGTCCGCCTCTTTGTGACCCCCTGGGCCAGAGCACGCCAGGGACTTCTGTCTTCCACTGCCTCCCGCAGTTTGGTCAAACTCTTGCTGGTAGCTTCGAGAACACTGTCCAGCCATCTCATCCTCCATCGTCTCCTTCTCCTTGTGCCCTCCATCTTTCCCAACATCAGGGTCTTTTCCAGGGAGTCTTCTCTTCTCCTGAGGTGGCCAAAGTCTTGGAGCCTTAGGTTCACGATCTGTCCTTCCAGTGAGCACTCAGGGCTGATTTCCTTCAGAATGGAGAGGTTTGATCTTCTTGCAGTCCATGGGACTCTCAAGAGTCTCCTCCAGCACCAGAATTCAAAAGCATCCATTCTTCGGCGATCAGCCTTCTTTATGGTCCAGCTCGCATTGCACAAAAACACAACAGGGGATGCATTTCCTGATAGACAGGACTTGTTGAGCCCACCTCTTCTTTAAAAATATTTTATTTTCCCCATTTCTTTGCAGCTTCTCCAAGGCACTCCATGAGCAGACTTGCTTAAAACAAGTTGGGAAGTTGTGCAGACCAGCAATCAACATCTCCTCTTGCCTCCTCCCTGCAAAACCCCAAGACAAAGGACCTCGCCTGAACCTGTCACTATTGATTTCCCCCATATAGGAAAGTATGTGGGGAGGGGGCTGAGACCCTGTTTCACTGCAGCTCAAATTTGTATGTGATTTCCCCCCTCCCTGCAACTCCTTGTCATAACCAAATCATTAGCAATAACAAGAATGATAAAAAACCTGAAAGGGTGTTTGTGTGTCCGTTTCATGCTAGAGTGTTTTGAAAAGGCGAACTCGGGGAGCAGCGTTGGGACAACGCAGCCACAATTCTGCACTGGCAGACTGCGATATTAAATTTCCCGAGAATCTGAGCAAAATGCAACACAAGGCAGCTCATCCTCCCTTATTCAATGTGACATGTGCCCCCTGGCGGGAGAAAGGATCATTGCACCATACAGAAATCTACTCTTTTTTGTTGCCATCACCCAGCCAGGCAGCTCCTTTGCTGGAGAGCTTAATTTCAAATATTAAATATCTTCCTGCGCTTGCCAATTTGTGGCCCTCTGCCCGGTCATTTGCATGGTATTTGCATAAACCTCTTGTGCTCTGCATCGCTGCTAATTTGCCGCTTGACAGTCGAGGGTCCCCAAGTTGGCTGCTTTCGGTCCTTCCAGCTGCCTCACCAGAACTTCTGTGCTCATCAGCTAAGGAGGGTTTGCAGGAACAGCAGTACCCATCGGCTATGAAAATGCTGAAGTTTTCTGCACTTGCCCAGCTGCAGAAAACTTCCCTAGCCTCCAGCAAAATTAAAACAAGCTTACTTTTTAAAATCCATTTAGGCTATTTATATATCGCTTCATCACAACTAGTCTCAAAGCTCTGATTTCATAGAAACAGAGAATTGAAGAGTTGGAGGTCATTTGGTCCATCGTTCAGCAATGAAGGGAGGAGCATCCATCAGCTTCTGAGTCGGTTCCACTGTTGCCAACAGCTCTTGCTGTTAGAAAATTCTCCCTGATGTTTAGCCAGAATCTCATTTCTTGTCGTTTGAATCCATTGCCTTAACACCTTCCCTCTGGATCCGAGCATTAATTGTACACTTCCCTCTCTCACAAACCAGGGTTCCTGGCTTACACTAAAGATTCCAAGATAGGTATATATAAAAAGTTTATGCAAATGTCTCCTGAGGCTAAGTTTCTGGGGTACTCAAGTTCCCTGGAGCACTGACTTATCCTGGTTAGTTTTTGGAGTGCTCTAGGAAGTTTCGACCAAATTTTTTGCACTCTACTAGAAGTTTCTCTCACTGCACAAACCAGGAATGTGGACTTAATGCTCTGCTCAGTTTCAAAACAAGGCAACTTCAGACATGGGTTATGAGGCTGGCTTGTTTAACTAACCACTCGGCTGCGAACTACGATTCCTGCCAGAGCCCTGTGCAACAGAATAAGTCAGCTTTCTATGAGAGGGAAGCTGATATTAGGTTCTGCTTGGCTTCTGGCTTCGCAGGACCTTGAACCCTTGGCTTTGCCCCTGCTCAGCTAGATTGTGGCATCCTTGCATTGGCGGCTGGTACCTGTGGGGTCAAAGGAAGATGCCCATCTCCTTAAAATAAGATTCTAGTTAAATAGGAATGAAAGCAGCTAACATTTGGGGCTCAACACTTTTTAAAAAGGGGGGGGGAGAGAGAGGGATTTTCCTTGGAGTGTGACTCAGCACCAGACGGCAAAATTCAATTTTTCAGACCGCATGATATAATTTTGATACTGGCTGCTGGGAAGTATTTGTTGGGAAGGAATTTATGAATCCATTCATGGCTATGGTAGACATTCAGCCATAAGGACTAAGAGGCCTCAGCTCCCATCAAGTCATGTAATCCAAATCCATCCAAACTGATGGCCGTTTTTTTGTAACGAGGTTCGTAGTTGAATGGTTTAGAATTGTAAGCCTTCAGGTAGGGACTGACTTATTCTCCATGTACGTAAGACAGTCTGGAAGTCTCTTTGGCTGAAGAGAGGGGTGCAAATAAATACATACAAAAACTGCAAGCCCCTGGAAAAACTCCGCAACTGGATCACATCTTTAGATAAATCTATGACACAGAATACACTTGGGATGCTGCCTGTGGTTCAAATCACCTCGCCTCAAAAACGATACCGTAGAGATCTTAAAGGTCCAGAAAGGGGCCACTGGAATGATCTAGGGGAGTGGAGTGACCCCCCCCCATGAGGAAAGTTTGCGCCCTTTGAAAGAAAGGGCAGGGCAGAGGAGACGCAACAGAGGTTCAAAGTGTGGCAAAAGTGAAGAGAAGCTTTTCTCTCTCACAGTGCTAGCTGTCAAACTGAGTCAAAAGGTAGACGATTCAGGATGCGCAAAAGGAAGTCCTTCGAACACCTGGAGGGCCGCAGCTTTGGGGAAAGGGTGTTCCAACCCATAATAAGCCCACCTGTTTCCTAGTTTCCCCTTTTCGTCATGGGCATTAAAGCCTTGCGTCTGTTGAAACCAGAACCTTGCGTTCTCTGTCCCGCTGGCAGCTGGAAGTTTTCTGGTGGCTGTAGTGTGATCGCAAATGTGTCTCTCAACTTCTTCGCGTTGATTTTGCGGCAGGGAAACGAAGGTGCCTGCATGCAGGGAGGGGGACGGCGCCGTTTCGTCGGAAAGGAAAGGGAGGTTAGGAGATCGGCCGCTTGCGTTCTGACATGCACAAACCACAGCTTAATGGAAGCGGGCGGTGGAAAAACACAACGCCGCAAAGAAAATTTAAGGTTTTTATTACCCCCTAAACCGCAACCCAAAAATGAACAGAAGTTCTACCCACCCACCGCCACCCACCCTGACCCATAATAACCTGGTGACTCTCCCCGCCTCTCCCCAACTAGCCCGGAGGGAAGATTACGGACACTGATGGCTAGAAGGCTAGGTGAACTGGAGCATGCAGAGCCAGCGATGCTCTTGACTGCGTAACGGGGCCGAGGAGAGTTGGGGCGCCACTGAGGGCCCGTGGCCTGCCCCTCCTCCCCACATCATTTCTTCTCCTCCTCTTTCTTGTCTTTGTTCTCCTTAGAGGCCTGCGAGGCCAGGGAGCCCATGGCGTTGCGAATGGCCTCGTTGTTGGGGTCGACTCCCGGCAGGTTCTCCAGGACGCTCTGCAGGAACTCGGGGTCTTGCATCACATCGTAGTCGTCCTCTTCCTGGAAACGTCCGTGAAACAGATAAAAATCAGATTGGAAGGAATTTAGGGATTATTTGAATGAATATTGTAATATAAATAATTAGAAGCCACTTGAAAGCACCAAATAGGCCTAGGATTAAAATAAGATTTAATTGCAAGTTGGATTTAGAGCAGTAAGAAAAGAGAATAAGATAGTTAATTGCTGGAAATAATTTTAGATTAAGAATGATACATGCTGTTACATGCAGATACAATGGAATTCAGAAGGGAGGGATCTCAGGAAGTCAATTAGCAACGTAAGAGAGATTGGGTTTTCAAGGGATATGTGTTTTAAGATTTCTTTTTCATTTTTCTTTTTTCGTAATGTGTTTTCTCTTGTGTGTTTTTTTTCTTTTCTCTCTGTGGTATTTGTTATAATTGTGGAAAATTTAATAAAAAAATTTGGGGGGGGGGAAGAAACAGATAAAAATCAGCATCAGAGGCACTGCCACCTTTCTGACCTGCCCTCCACTGGTAGGTCTCAAGGTGGGTTGAAACGGCCCTTGCAAGAGATTTAGTGGTACTTTGGATATAGCTTATAGCAGAAAAGAAGGTGGACAACTCTGTTGGCAGGAGAGCCCCAACCTCCACCAACGGGGTGCCCTTCTAGACAACAACTCAGTGCTGGCTGGGGGGGGGGAGTTGTAGTTCAGATCTAGAGGGTGCTGGGTTGGCAGAGGCTGCTCTGAGCAAGTGGACAGAGGGGGCAGAGGGAGGATCTGTGGCCACTGACCTTTGTCGGTTCTGACGTGTCCATATCAGTGCTGATATCCACCTCGGCCGACTCACCTTGTCCAAACTCTGAGAGGGGAGAAAACATGCACAGCTTAGCGACCTCTTTACTGCTACAACCAAAGCCCACAGGTGGGTTTCAAACGCCAACCAGATTAATGAAGAGCCAATCACAGAGCTTCCACCTAAAGCAGGGGTGTACAAAGTTTTTTCAAAGAGGGCCAGATTTGATGAAGTGAACATGTTTTTTCGGATTAAAGTTGTTGAGAATTTTTTTAAGATTGAAGCTGTTGAACTCTTTTCGGATTTTACCCCAGGAAATAAACTGCCACGGGGGCTGGACTTTGGACATGCCCGGCTTAAAGGGAGGCAAGAGATTCAGTTTCCTTGCAGTCCACCCCAAAAACGCACCATTTTTATCTCTATTATTTCGGGGTGGGGAACTTCTGGCCCTCCTAATGATCCTATCGTGTCTGAACACTGGCCACACTCCATTCCCTTCTCAACACTTCAAACTGTTCCCCCAAACTTCGTAACCAAGCCATGTTTTTAGGGAAGCTTTCAAAATTTGATGGATTACTATATTTTAATATTTTGTTGGAAGCCACCCAGAGTGGCTGGGGAAGCCCAGCCAGATGGGCGGGGTATAAATAATAAATAATTATTATTTTTACCTGAATTAAAATGGGGTGCAGCCTTCACCCTTTATTTTTTACTGTCTGCAAGAGAAATTGTTCCCCTCCTCCTGGGATGCTGCTGCGACCTGCCTCCCATGTTCCTGCATGAGCTACTGTTTGAGCACAACCCTAAAAGGAGATGAGGCTGGAACACTTAATTCATGCCGAGTTGGAACCGGCACGGTCCTCTGCGGCCGATACTTCTCTTCTGGGCACAACTGAGAGATATTGTTCTAGTGTTTTGGAGGAGGGAGAGAATAATCCTGACTATACAAAGGGCAAGTGCTCAAGCCGCCCCCAGAGCCCTTCTCAGCAGTTGCCCTGCCCCACTGCCCCAGTTGCCCTGCCCCACTGCCCCAGTTGCCCTGCCCCACTGGCAAAGGTGGTGTTCCTGATCCGAAGGCGGGGGCTACGCTGGGTGCTTCTCGCCTGCAACTCACCGGCTCCTTGGAGAGACATCTGCATGGCATAGGCAATCTGTTCTTCTTCGGTCATGGTGCTGAGGTCGGGCAGGCCAGCTCGGCCGAATTCCTGTTGGCCTATGGTCATCTTGAGCAGGGCGTCGTCTGAATCTAGAGCACACGAGGACCCACGTTTGAGGGAAGGCGATTCGGTGCCAGATCGTATTGCAAGAGATCTTA